GTGCTGGTGATATTCGTGGCGACGCCGGTATTCGAGCCGCTCTTTCGTGGCGCTGGGGAACTTCATCCTGCAGAAGCCGCTCTTCCCGCTGGTCTTCGTGCTCAGGGCGTCGAGGACGCCGACCTCCCGCCCGACATTCGGGCGACCCAGGAGGAGGCAGATGCGTTCGTGAACAGCGTAGTGCTACCGCAGTGCGCCCCGAGGTACAGGGGCAAGGCCAAAGAGCGCGCTTCGGCCCCCTTCCAGCATGCAGTGGGCAGAGTGCCTGCGATGGGCACACGTGGCAAGGAAAAGGGCAAGCGGCGATGACATGGCAAACTGTCGCCAATGTGGTCGGGGCGTTTTCTGGAAGTTCGGGTACTTGGTGCATAAGGCCTCCGACGCGGTCTACTCTCAGTGAGTATGTGTACTGCCTGGGGTTCGTGGATGTTCTCGGCTGGGTGTTACTCTGTTATGGGGGCTTCCGCCTTCGCTCACCGCCCGTCTTTCGGGCTGCGGAGTCGTCGAGGGAAATCGAATTTGTTTGGAGGGTGGTGGGGGAAAAGTATAGCAAACGGCAGCATCATCTCCATCATCGTCGTCATCCTCAGCAGCATCGTCGTCATCATCATTTGCATGAGATATCTCTGTCTGTCTCTCTGTCTCTGAGTCTCTCTATCTCTCTCTCCCTCTCTCTCCCTCTCTCTCCCTCTCTCTCCCTCTCTCTCCCTCTCTTTCTCTCTCTCTCTCTCTCTCTCTCTCTCTCTCTCTCTCTCTCTCTCTCTCTCTCTCTCTCTCTCTCTCTCTCTCTCTCTCTCTCTCTCGTTCTCTCTCTCTCTCTCTCTCTCTCTCTCTCTCTCTCTCTATATATATATATATACACATATATGGGAGATCCCGGGCCCCGGGCCCCGGGCCGGAACCTCCCTTGTATATAGGGTGCGGCCCTCTCCCGGGGCGCCCTTCCGGCGGCCCCCGCGCGTTCCAGCCCGCCCAAGAGGGCTCCAGGAGCGCCGAGAGAACCCCAGGATCGCTTCAAGACCGCCAAAGATCGCTTCCAGAAGGGTCAAGAGGCGCTCAAACCGCCCCAAGAGGCCTTCAAGAGGCCCCCCACGAGCGCCCCGGGAGACCAAAATAGCCCCATTCCCTTCGTAAAACGTACATTTTTACGATATCAGCTCCCTTAGCTGTCGGAGCGGCCAGAAAGCCCCACGAGGCGCCCAAGGACGCTCCAGGACGACTGAGGACAGCCCCAAGACGGCCCAGGAGGGCCTCCCGGGACGCTCCTCCGGCGGCCCCCGGGCTGCCCAGTCCGCCCAAGAAGGCTCCAAGAGCGCCGAGAGAACCCCAGGATCGCTTCAAGACCGCAAAAGATCGCTTCCAGAAGGGCCAAGAGGCCATCAAACCGCCCCAAGAGGCCTCCAAGAGGCCCCCCAAGAGCGCCCCGGGAGACCAAAATGGCCCCATTCCCTTCGTAAAACGTACATTTTTAGGATATCAGCTCCCTTGGCTGTCGGAGCGGTCCGAAAGCCCCACGAGGCGCCCTATAGGATAGCCCGAAGACAGCCCAGGAAGGCCTCCCGGGACGCTCCTCGGGCGGCCCCCGGGCCTCCCAGTCCGCCAAAGAAGGCTCCAAGAGCGCCGAGAGAAGCCCAGGATCGCTTCAAGACCGCCAAAGATCGCTTCCAGAAGGGACAAGAGGCCATCAAACCGCCCCAAGAGGCCTCCAAGAGGCCCCCCAAGAGCGCCCCGGGAAACCAAAATGGCCCCATTCCCTTCGTAAAACGTACATTTTTAGGATATCTCATCCCTTGGCTGTCCGAGTTGTCAGACAGCCCCAGGAGGCGCCCAAGGACGCCCCAGGACGCCTGAGGACAGCGCTAAGAGGGCCTAGGAGGGCTTCCTGGGACGCTCCTCGGGCGGCCCCCGGGCCTCTCAGTCCGCCCAAGATGGCCCAAGAGACTTCCCGGTCGCCCCGAGAGGGCCCCCGGAGCGCTCCGATACGGCCCAACATGGCCTCCAGAAGGGCCACGAGGCCGTCAAGACGCCCCAAGAAGGCTCCAAGAGGCCTTCCAAAAGGGCCCCGGAATCGCCACGGAATCGGACCCGTGCTTGCGAACACCGTTTTCGGAGCAAACTAGAACCTAAGCGCGCGCGAAGCGCGCGCGTGGTTCTATATATATATATATATATATATTATATATATATACATATATATATATATATTATATATATATATCCACCCTCTATCTCTCGCGTTCCATCCCGTCCCGCGCCACGTGACCCCCCTCCTCTTCTCCTTCCGCTTTCCCCCCTCACAGACCTCCTCCTCTTCCTCCTCCACCTCCTCCTCATCTTCCTCATCGTCATCGTCGTTATCCTGGCGCTTTCCTTCATATGCATTCTCAGATCGACCCTCATTGTTATCAGCACCAAGACTCTTTTCTTCCTCCTCCTCCTCCTCCTCCGCCGCCTCCTCCCCGGGCTTCTCCTGTTTGTTTCTGCTCTCTTTCTAGTTTGGGACATCCTCGAACGGTGATCAGGCGTGGCGCTCCCGCCCGAGATGCCCTTGCAGTCTGCCCAGGGGACCGTGCTCCCGCCTCGGCGCTGGCCACCTCCTCGGGCCAGGGGGCCGCCCATAACAATCCGGAGCACATGTCGACGGCAGGAGCGCACATCGAACATACCGTTTGGTCATGACCCCGCCGCCCTCCCACCTCCTCCGCCTCCAGCCTCCTGCTCGTCCTCGTCCCCCTCTTCTTCCTCCTCCTCTCCTCCTCCTCCTCCTCCTCCTCCTCCCCCTCCTCCTCCTCCTCCCCCTCGTCTTCTCCTCCCCCTCCTCCTCCTCCTCCCCCTCGTCCTTCTCCTCCTCCTCCTCCTCCTCCTCCTTCTCCTCCTCCTCCTCCTCCAGGGGTCTCAGGGGGCCCTCTGGGGGCTCTTCGGGGGCCTCCTCGGAGCCTGCTGGGGGGTCATCCGCCTCCTTCCTTCTCTTTTCCCTCCCCCCCGCAGTCCGGCTCGAGACCTCTCACAAGTTTAGTCGGGCATAGCGCTCCCACTTGAGACTTCACAGATTAGCTGTCACCTTGGCGCTGGTTGCCTCCTCCTTCGGGCCGCAACGGTGCCCCCTCCAGGAGCATGGTGACGCTTCGCGTAATCCCACCAGCCCATACACAAATGATATCCTGGAGGGTTGTCTTGATCAGGGAAGCGCAAGAGCATGCAATAGAACAAAGAGGAGGGCAGCTGTTTGACCGAATCTCGGTATCAGCTTGAGCAGACTCAGGAGTCAATCATACAGGCTGTCGCGGACCGTTCGATCTGGGAGAATTTTAAAGATTTTCGAGGGGGCCATCTTGGGTCGCTGTCAGGGCCATTTCGGAGTCTTTGGGGAGCTCTCCAGGGCCTCTCTCAGAGGCCTTAAGAGGCCCGTCTTGGGGCCAACATGGAGGACATCGATCGCGCAAAGGCGTGACGCCGATGAGCACGCCCTTTCTGGAGCTCGGAATCATGTAATGGCTTCGTGCTGGCCCGCTCTTGGGCGCTCTTGGCGTCGTCGTGGAGCCGTTGTATGGGCCCCCCTTTTGAGCTCTCTGAGACGGTATTGGAGCCACCTGCAGGCCCCGGAAGCCCATCATGAGCAAGCATGCGAGAAGGCGAAAGTCACACAGCAGAAAAAATGCAAGTTCACGACATATGTTGGTTTGTTGGTGGCGTCCTTGGGAGGCTCCGTGGTTACTTGGAGTCGTCTTGGGGCAAATTGGAGGTCTAGTTGTGTTCTTTCGATGTTTGGCAGGTGGTCGCTACATTCGAGCGAATCTGAAGCAAGCAAGCCTCAAGCGAATCGCAAGAAAGCTTCTCGGCGGGATTCTGGCACCCAAAGGAAGCTGGCCTGCAACCCAGCATCAAGATCTACGGCACCTTGCTGCACGCTGTGGCCAAGCAAAGCGACTGTGCCCGGGTGGAGCGCCTGATCCAGCGGATGCACTCTGTCGGTTTGGAGGCAGTTCCATTTGAAGACACCCTCTGTGCTGGGCACGGAAGGGGCCGGCGGTGCGGATGCCTCCACCTCCCTCCCTGCTCGCCCTTGTGCTGAACTGTGAAGGCCTTCCGGCCTGTGCCGCCGACCCTGCAGGCAGGACCCCCCCGGGGACCCCCGCTGGCGGCGCCCCCCGGACCCGCCTGGACCCCGGGGGGTGCGGTACTCGGACCCAGGACCATCCTCCTCCACCACAAACAGGACCTCCCCGAAGACCCCCCTCCAGGACCCCTCCCCCCCCCCCGTAGTGCCCCCCCGTGCTTCCTGTCCACAGCACAGGGAGTTGTAATCAAAAAACTATTCGTACTCTGCTGATTTTTCTGAGATGATGATGCCTTTCTTGATGTAGCTCGAGCTGCAGATGAGCTACAGAGCTGTTTGGCACAGCAATCGGAAGAGCATCATCAGGAGCGCTAGTCTGAAGTGTCTAAGGACCGAGGAGGGGGGAGGGAGGGCCGCCGGGACCCCAGGGGGAGGCGGCAATCTGACCCAGGACCCGCCCCCCCCCCACCCCTACCACCCCCAGCCCGGAAGGGGAAAAGGGGAGGGTACCGACTTGACTACGACGTTTCTTTGTTCGTTTCTGATTTCCTTGAGACTGGCGACAAAGACGACGATGACGACGACGGCGAAGACGACGACAGCGTCTCACGCACGCCGAAGGGTCGGCGGATCCGTTCGTTGCCTTTTGATCGAAAATCGGCTCGGAGGCCAGCAGCTCCATGTACAATGCGCTGATCAGCGCCTGCGCCAAGCGCGGCGAGGTGGAGCGCGCAGAGAAGTGGCTGAACCACATGATCAAGGCCAGCGTGCCCGTAGATGTGGTCACGTACTCCACGGTGATTCACGCATGTGCAAAGTCTAGCGACCTCACTCGAGCCGAGCTGTGGATGGAGCGCATGCGCAAGGCTGGCGTCCAGGGCAACAGCGTCACCTATAACTCTCTCATAAACGTCTGTGCTCGCGTGGGCGACGCAGACCGCGCCGAGGAGTGGCTGGCGCAAATGGAGAAGTCGGGCCTCAGTCCAGGGGTGCTCACCTACAACTCGGTCATAAACGCGTGTGCCAAGGCTGGGGACCACGTGCGCGCGGAGTCCTGGCTCCCACGCATGCAGGCCAAGGGCGCGCATCCCGACAGCGTGAGCTTCAGCACCGTCATTCACGCCTGCGTGAAGTCCTCCGACGAACAGAGGGCGGAGTATTGGCTGGCTCAGATGCACGAGGTGTGGGATCCAAGAACAAGCACCCGCCCCCCACGCGCTGCCAGAAAGGATGGAGATGGGAGGGGGGCGGGGGAGGGCCCAGACGCCAGGGAGGAGGGGGCCAGAGGGGAGTGGAGGCGACGGGAGGAGAAGAGGAGAAGTGGGGGAGGGGAGAGGAGGGCAGGGAGAAGAAAGGACCAGATGAGGCAGGCCAGGGGAGGCGCCAGATGCGGGAGCGGTAAATGCATCTCGCGCTTGGGTGGTTGCGTCGGGGACGACAGCGGGGCGCAGGTGGTGAGCAGGCTCCCGGGGGGCCAACCTTCCAGACCGATGCAAAATGGGTGGGGGGGAGGAAGACGACGAGGACGAGGGCGAGGGGTATTGAGGCCCCCTCGGTTGGAAGGCAGGAGCCCTCGGCTAGAGACGCGTGCCTCCGCCGTGCCCCCGAGAGGCGCGCCTGACGCCGAGCGCCTCCTGCTACGAGTGGGTCATCCAGGCGTGCATGCAGGCGGGCAACCTGGCCAGCGCCGAGCGCTGGCTGACGGCAGCGCTGAAGACGACCGACGTGAGCACTTGCCTCGGCCATCTGCCGGTCGCGAGACTGTCGGCCGTGGCCAGGAGTCGCGGTCAGGCCCATCCAGTCCCAGGGCATCCATCGTCACAGGAATGCGGCTGAGGACGTTATTCTTGTTGTGACATGTCATGATGATCAGTATGATCATTGTTCCTCCTCCTCCTGCTCCTGCTCCTGCTCCTGCTCCTCCTCCTCCTCTCGCTCGTCCGCCCAGGTCTGGGGGTGGACCTAGCTCGAGGCCCGATCCCCCAGCTGCGCCCCGGTGTCGCCACACACGGCATGCCTGGCATGCCCCCGGGCACATCTGCCGCATCCGCGTGCGGTCTCCCGCCCCACTCCTACCTCCAATCTCATACCTCCTCCTCCTCCTCCTCCTCCTCCTCCTCCTCCTCCTCCTCCTCCTCCTCCTCCTCCTCCTCCTCCTCCTCCTCCTTTCCTTCCTCCAACCTCCTGCCCTGGAGTCCCGCCTCGGGCCCCAAGGCCTGCACGAGTGGGCCCAGCGCAGAAGGTCTCGCGCAAGGGGGGAAGTAAAGTTTGAAGGGGGCGCGACCCAGGGTGGGCCGGTTTCGGCTCGGGTCCCTTCGTACCAGGTACCGTACCATGTTGGACTCCGCTTCACTTGGAGCGATTCCTGTTGGTTCGATCAAAGCTCCAGGTCCGTCCAGTTTCGTTCGGTTCCCGTCGCGCTGGTCGGATCAGTCCGATTCAGACCATTCATGTTGTTCAGCGGTCGACGGGTTTATGACCCTACGACCAGGGTTTCATCTTGGACCTCGGATCGTTGATACATCGATCGGTGCCCCGATCTATCGCAGATGGTGTTGAGTCATCGATCGGCGGGACTCTCGATCGGACACCCTGGCGATCAGTTTCGCCCGCGGTCGGTTTCTTTCGGTGGTCGGTTTCGCCAGCGGTTGGCCCTGCCTGTTGTCGGTTGCGTTGGCGGCGTTCGCCTAGCAGCATATCAACGCCGCCGCCTCCGTCGTCGTCGGCATCGGCACCGCTGCCGCCCCTACCCGTCGTCTGCCCCGCCGGGATCGCCGTCGTCCTCGCCCTTCGGCGGCTCGGTCGTCGCCAGTCGTCGCGGGCGGGTGGACGCTGACCTACTTTGACAGGCGAGCGCACCGGCCCTGACGGGCGGGCGGAGACAGGGAGGAGGGGAAGGGGGAGGAGGAGGAGGAGGAGGAGGAGGAGGAGGAGGAGGAGGAGGAGGAGGAGGAGGGGAGGGGAGGAGGGGGGAGGAGGAGGAGGGAGGAGGGGGAGGAGGAGGAGGAGGAGGAGGAGGAGGAGGAGGAGGAGGAGGAGGAGGAGGAGGAGGAGGAGGACAGGCCCTGACGGGCGGGCGGGCTGACCCTAGCGGGCGGGTCGGGCGGGCGGGCCCGCACGGGCGGTCGGGCCGTCGGAGCCCTGGCGGGGCAGGCGGATCGGGCGGGCGCGGCGTCACGGGCCCGCCAGGGAGGGCGGGACACTACAGCGGGCGCGTCGGTTTTCCAGCGAACGGATGTGCGAACCTTCACGGATGAGTCGGGCGGGCGGACCTTGACGGGCGGGTCGGGCGGACGGACCCCAACGGGCGGGATTTGGGCGAGCGGGCGGGTCGGGCAGGCGACCCCTCACGGGCGGGTGGCGCGGGCGGGACATCACAGCGAGTGTGCGGGCTTGCCAGCAGACGAACCTGCGGACCTTGACGGGCGGGTCGGAAGAAGGCCGACCAGCACCACGAACAACGACCACGACCACGACGACGAACAACGGCGAAGAGAAGACAGCAAAGTCGCCTACGACGACAAACGAGCGAAGGCGACCACGACGATGAACGACGACCGCGAAGCAGGCCGCGGGCGAAGCGGACCGGACAACTGGGCGAATCCGACCGGGGGCGAAGCCGGTTGGCTTCGCAGGCAGGCGCAGGCAGGCACGACGGGCTCCGACTGGCCCCTGCCTCCCCGGGAGGCAGGGGCCAATGCGACAGACGGGCAGGTTTGATCGGGCGGGTGCTTCCTGAGGAGTGAGGACGGACAGCCATGACGGAGGAGGGGACGCGGGACGGAAAGGTAGAAGGAGGAGGAGGAGGAGAGTTGTGGCAGCAGGAAGGGGAGGAAGGCGGCGGAGACGGCAGAAGAAGAGGAGGGGAAGGAGGGAGAGGATGGGGCATGGAGGGGGGAGGACGGCGGAGGACGGAGGATCGGAAGACTCGGAGAGGGCACGCGGCGCCGCGACCATGATGAGCAGGGCGCGTTCGATGGGGCCCAGCGCCACTTCACTGATCCACGGAGGCAGTGTGTGCACCCCCCCTCCCAGCCTCTCAGGGCGGGGTCAAAGACAGCGACGTTTCCCCCACCGCCGCGAGCGAGCGTTTTCTTATTCGGCGCTTCGGCATTGGGCGGATGAGGGGGGGAGGGGGGGGGGTCTGGCTCCGGACATCGGCTTAGTGCGACTGTTTGCGGCAATGCGTCCTATGAGGGAGACTCCACCTGCTCGGAACAGGCGCCCAAAAACAGCCAAGATCCACTCCAGGGGGGGGGGGGGGGGAAGGGGGGGGGCGAGGGCCCGCGCCGATCGGCGAAACAACGAGTAAGGAAACGATCACCAGCCGAGCCCGACACTGGTACTGTTTCTATCTGCCTCGGGGGGGAACATCACTCGAACATATCAGTTTTGCTTACTTCCCCCCACGCCTAGGGCCCAGGCCCACCGACATGCAATCCGTGGGCATGTTTGAGAGGAGGCGCATGGCCCATGACTACAGCTCATGCGCTCGGTCCCTAGGGACCCGTCCATGCACCTCGGGGGATGCCACTCTCGCAGCACGCCGCATCGTCACTTGGGCGGCGCACGTAAATCATGAGGAGGAGCTGCTCGGAGATCACCGTCGACCCCAGCACCTATAGCAGGACTGGCGGCTTCCCCCAGCTCCACAGCCTTGTCCTGGGATAGTGTCGGCGGTGGGCCCCGGCGATCGGAAGCCACACCTCCGCCCCGTCCGGGCCACGGACATACCGAAGTCAAGTTCGACCATGGGCTCCGCCGCCGCCCGAAAGGTCACGAGATGGGCAAGCATAAAACGACGCGAAGATCGGGACAAAACCGGATCGGGATAACTCGAAATCTCTGAGAATCGGCGGGTTTGGAGGATGTATTGGGCGCCGCGGCCGCTCCAGAGCGTTCCGGAACGCTCTGAGAGCGCTCCAGAACGCTCTGGAGCGATTTATCCCGATCCTAGCTTTGTTTTAAAGCACTGGCAGGCGCTCTGCCGAGGGTGCAGCCAAAGTCAACCCCTTGGCCGCGCACACCCACGCCCACCCACCTCACCGCCCACGCCGAGCCGTGGGAGTCGGGTTGACCCAAAAGGGGGTCCAGCGACAAGGGGGTGGTGCAATTGATTTGTGGGGTTGCAATAGAGTTGGGGCGTGCAATGCAATTCGGGGCGCAGATGTATTGCTGGAAATCCGCGTGCAATACATTACTTGCAATACAATGCAATACACTTCTCCGGCGCAATGCATTTGCGGTACAATTGCCCCAAATCTATTGCACCACCCCTTTTCAGCTGGAAACCCATTTTGGGTCACCCAAAGGGAGTCCCGCGAACAGCCGGATATAAGCGAGCTGCGATCGGCAGCCACGCGCGGCTGCAGAGCCACAGCGGACAGAGCCTCCACGAGAGCGACAGCCAGCGCTGGACAGGCGCGGAGGGCCCAGAGCAAGCTGGCCGCCCTGCTTTCCCACGCTGCGCCCATACGGCGCATTCGATACACGTGTCCGCACAAACGAGATGGGCACGGAAAGAATGGGTACGATGCCCAAGAGCAGTTCCTGTTCATTTTGAACAGGACTCGCTGTCCGCGCCGCCGCGGCCTGTGTCCATCTGAGACAGAAGGCCGCCTGCCCAACAGCGGCCGCTGTTGGTTTGGGACAAGATTTGTTGTTGGGCATCGTACCCAATTTGTCCGTACCCATTTCGGGCGTCCAAAACGTGATTGCTCCTCCGCCTCAGCCCCGTATCGCAGGCCTGGAGGTTGACACCAACACCAAAATCGGCGGTGTGCCTCCGCCGAGGGAAGAAGGTCCCGATCTGTGCGATGGTGGTAAGGTTCTGGCTTCCAAGGTGGCCGAAATATGACCACCAAAACCGAAATCTAGGATCATCTTCCCCCCGTGGAGGCAGCCCCCTGTGTTGGTGTTGCTGGCCATTTCCAGGCCTCCAACCTTAACCTTGCTCCGTGTCCTCGGCATGGTATGGAGCCAGACGGGCTCGCGGCCTGCTGGGATCCGACCCTCAGAGTGGACCCCATCATGTCGGAAACTGGAAGGTCTACATTCCCAGTGGCGTGCTGTTGTTCAATCCCTGGACTTCTTGAGGGTTACGGACGACGCCGGGGTGGTGTGGTGTATATTTGTTTCCCAGTTTTCCGAGGGGAAAAATGACAAAACATGTATACACGAACATCCCATATACACACCAGGATCTGCTTTCTTTTGCGAGTTTCAGTGCAGGGCCAGAAAAAGCGTCTGTGTATAGAGCTCGGTTCCCTATCCATGGGCTACGGCGCACAGGCGGTCCCGCGCAGTGACACACCTTCGCCAGTGTCAACCGGCATATCAGCATATGCTTCTGCGCACGGCCGCCATGGCGCGGGCCAATCTCGTCGGCGACGAGATGGACCACCTCCATCTGGTGACGCAGGAGCGCAAGCTCGCCAAAGCAGCTCTGCGGTCGTGGACCGGCCGACGCCAGCCGTGGCCCCTGCCCAGCCCCCCCAACGGCAGCCTCTTGCTGCTACGAGCGCGGTGTACGCTTGGCGAGCTGCCAACCTAATGACTTGGCGCAGCCAAAAGCCCTCGCCAAGCAGCGACGAGGAGGTCGCTGTCCTCACAGCTACGTGCGGACCGCCACGCCACGCGGTACCTCATTCCCCTGGACCATTGAACCCCCACACCCGCCCAGCCGGCAATTGAGCGAAGCTTGCGTGAACTCGTCTGGAGTTAAGAGTTCTCGCAGTTAGAGAAGGCCGCACCGGTCGCACTCGACGTGACCGTCGCCGGGGACCCGCCGATGCCGCAGCCGACTTCTGTGCCGTCTCGTGCTCCACTTGTTCCCTAGCCGGCATGAGCCGGGTGAACTCGAGGGCACGTGCGACCAGGTCGCCCTCAACATGCCGGCGGCGGTCATCAGCGTCGATCAAGCAAGCAGTTCTGCACGAACGAGATGGGCACGGAAAGAATGGGTACGATGCTCAACAGCAGTTCGTGCTCATTTTGAACAGGACTCGCTGTCCGCGCCGCCGCGGCCTGTGTCCATCTGAGACAGAAGGCCGCCCGCCCAACAGCGGCCGCTGTTGGTTTGGGACAAGATTTGTTGTTGGGCATTGTGCCCGTTGTTTCAGTACCCATTTCGGGCGTCCAAAGCAGTGGCGAAGCGTCTCGGCTCGCCTATAGCCCAACCAAACAATGTTCTAAGAACCTTTCATGGTTTCCACGGAATGTTCTCAGAACATTTCTGGCTGGGACAGTCCTGTTTTAACACATCGGGCTTATGTTCTAAGACTATTAATTTTGTTATTAGAACACTGCTGGGTTCTAAGAACATTTCGTGGTAGGACTATAGGAATGCCGGGACGGTCGGTCCCTGTTCAAGTCGACGTGGCCCTGGAATTTAAACCCGCACGTCTTGCCGCCATTACCCACCCACGCGCACTGAGGGGCGGGGCTGGCGACCTTGCGCTCGGCTTCGAGCGGCTTTGGCGCTCGAGGGGCCAGGCGGCGGGCGGGCTGGCCTCCCCACCCCACCCATCCCACCCGTGCGCCAGCGAGGAGCGCACGGATGCTTAGGCCCGGAGGAGGAAGGACGAACGGGGATGATGTTGATGATGAGGACGGTGAGGAGCAGCAGCAGAAGGAGCAGGGGGAGGAAGCAGCGAGGAGGGAGCAGCGATGGGCAGGAGGAGGGAGGACGAGGGAGAGGGGAGCACTGAGGAAGTGGCAGCGAGGATGGAGTAGGGAGGAGGGAGCAGAGAGGAGGCGTGAGGCAGGAGGCAGGAGGACGGAGGTGGCGAGAGGAGCGAGGACGGGGGTGAGCAGGGAGGTTGAAGTATTCAGAGCTCGGGGGAAGAGAGCAGGGAGGAGGGAGGGCGCCGAGGCGCCCCCACCCTCACCAGATTCATCAACAAGTGCTCGCACGGTAACGACCCCACCAGGGCAGAGCGTTGGACCAAGGAGATCAAGGGGTGTTGCGGCTCCTCCCGCCTCTCCTCACCTCCCCCCTCGCCTGCCCGACGCCTCCCCCTCCCTGCGCAACCCGCCCGCTCCCCCTCCCCTTCCACCCTCCCGCTCCCCACCCCCACCTCGCCTCCTCGAGGAGATGGAGCGCCGTGGCATCCGCGCCGCGGCGGCGAGGGCCGCTGGCGCCCAGGGCCACTCGTGCTGCTGACTGCCTTGTAGCTTTACTCGGCAGATAGCCACGAGCGGCCAAACGTGCCCGCAGGCACTGGAAGCGACCACGGTCGGTTCGCCACGGCTGCCTCACATCATCTGGCGTCAGAAAATATCATGCTGGGTTCGCACACGCAAACACACAAACAAACAAACAAACAATCATGCAAACTAACACTCAAACAACACGCGCGGCACAACACGTACACACAAGTTCCCCCCCTTCTTCTGCGGCGTCGCAGCATCGGTTGGTCAACACCGCATGACAGCACAGCACTGCTCTCCAGAGCGGCAATGGGTTGCAACCGCAACCGCCCGATCAAGTTGTGCGGGTATCGTTACCAACGTGTTCGAGCAGTCAACCAAAAACGCAACGCTTTGGTTTGTCCAAGATTGGCCGGACGTGCTGCGGGTGTTACAGCCGGGGCCCTGCAGAAGGAACCCTTTTCGTTGGGGAGGGGCTCGGTGTTCCTTGATTGTTCTACAGTTTGCCTTCTGTTGTCCTTAGGTTTTCCATGGGAAATCGAAGTTCAACTTATGGGAGAAAGGGACCCCGTTCCTTATTTAGGGTTTCTTAGGTCAACGCCCCGACTGTAATCCGACTGGGGCGCTAGCGAAGTGTAAGTATGCGCAGCACACGGAAATCTGCGGAAGGGTTTGGTCCGCGATCCCGCGAAGGGGTGTTGGACCCAATCACCGCGAGGGCAGTGCGGGGGAAGAGGCAGGAGCGGCAGCGAGGCGGGGCGGGGCCAGGAAAGGAGAAGTTGGCCGTACACGTGCCCAGAGGCCACTCGTCGTACAGTCGGGGCCCTGAAGAAGGAACCCTTTTCGTTGGGGAGGGGCTCCGTGTTCCTTAGTTGTTTCGCAGCTTGCCTTGGATTTTCCTTAGGTTTTCGACACGAAATCGAGGTTCAACTTATGGAAAATAGGGGCCTCGTTCCTTATTTAGGGTTCCTTAGATCAACGCCTCGACTGTAGCATGACTGTCGAAGGCGGGGACCAGAAGCCCGCGGAGACAGCAGGGGGGCCGACGAAGCAAGCGTAGAGACGCAGCAGGGTGCGAAAGCATCGCGCTCACCAGCAGCATGCGCACACACACACACACACAGACTTCTTGTCTTGTGCTTCCTGGCCGGTTGATCCAGCGCAGCAAGCGATAAGACGGTATGATTCCTCCTTTCCTCTCTCTCTCTCTCGCTCTCTATCTCGCTCTCTATCTCTCTCTCTCTCTCTCTCCTTCCTTCCTTGCCTCTCTCTCTCTCTTTCTCTCTCTCCCCCCTTCCTGCCTCCTTCCTTGCCTCTCTCTCTCCTTCCTTGCCTCTCTCTCTCCTTCCCTGCCTCTCTCTCTCTCTCTCTCCCTCTCTCTTTCCCTCTCTCTCGTTCTCTCGTACACCATTTTCTCCAAGCCGGCGGCCGCCAAGAGGGCCAGACGGCGGTCGAGCAGCAGCGTGGGCGCGCCGGGGCACAGTACGGGCACGCGACGGGCGGAGGGCGCGAAGAGGCGCTCTTGGCGGCCGGCGGGGCCCCGGGGGCGAGGGAGCCCCACCTCAGAGCCCCGGATCATCAGGGCTAACTCGGGTCAGGGCTAACTCGGGTTCGTTGTTCGGGAGTCCGAACCCGAGTTATCCCGGACCCGAGTTACCCCGGATAACTCGGGCGTCCAGAGCCCCGAATCATCAGGGGTAATTTCGGGTCAGGGTTAACTCGGGTTCGTTTTTCGGGAACCCAAACCCGAGTTACCCCGGACCCGAGTTACCCCGGATAACTCGGGCGTCCAACCACTCGGGCCGTGAAAACTAGCAGTGGCGAGGCGTCCTGGCTCGCTTATAGGCCCACCAAAGAGTGTTCTAAGAACCTGTTGTGTTTTTTCCGCGAGATGTTCTCAGAACATTTCTGGCTGGGGCCGTCTTGTTGTATCACATCGGGCTTATTCCCTACCTAGGCTCTGCCTAGAAGGGCTCTTATTGGCTGTGCTTAAAGGGCCGGGCAGTGGTCCTCGCCCCGGGCGGTTCCCCCGGCATCCGCCCCGTGGTTCCCCCAGTTACGTCCCCTCATCTTAGCGTTGCTTATCTCGTCTTAGCTTAGTCTCTACCTAGGCTCTGCCTAGAGGGTTAGCATAGCTTTGCTTAGCATAGCGCAGCGCTGCATTCGCATAGCATAGCATAACATAACATAGCCAAGCATAGCATATCATAGCATAGCATAGCATAGCATAGCATAGCATATGATAGCATAGCGCAGCATAGCATAGCATAGCCTAGCCTAGCATAGCATAGCATAGCGCAGCATTGCATAGCATATCATAGCATAGCATAGCGCAGCATAGCATAGCATATCATAGCATAGCATAGCAACTAATGCTGCTTTCCTAGGGGCTACAAATTCTAGGTAGGGTCGCACTGGGTAATGTTCTAAGAACATTGTTTCGATTATGAGAACATATGGGGGTTCTAAGAACATTTCGTGGTAGGACTATAGGAATACTGGGACGGTCGGTCCCTGCTCAATTTCGTGTGCGTGCCAGAGAACAAGGCGAAGTGCAGGGCGAGCACGAGGGCTTAGCCGAACAGGAAGCCCGTGAGCCAAGGGTGAGGGTCAGCCATGCAGCGTCGTCAGCCGACTCGGAGCAAAGCCAGGTGCAAGGATGCCAGGGAGGCCGCCCAGGAGCGGCTGCGGAGGCGAGCCCGCACAGGGGCCTCAAAGGCACGAGAACCGAGCAAGCGAAGGGCCGTGACCAGAAGGCGACGGCCAGGGGCACAGCCAGATGGGCAGCCGACCAGGTCGAAGGGCGCCACTGGCAGAGCAAGGACAAAGTGACCTGCGGTCGGGAGGGGACCAGGAAGGTGCCCTCGGCGAGCTTGCCGACGAGCACCGTCGTGAACCCAGCGCGGCGCTAGGCCGCGCAGCGCAGGTAACACAGAGACTGCGGCCAGAAGACTGGCGGGGCCGCCGTTGCCGGGGCGGCGCCGGCAGGTGGGCGGGGGGGACGGAGGGGGGGGAAGGAGGGAGGGAGGCAGGAGCGGGCAGGAAGGCCGCGCGAGGACCTCGGCAGGGAGACCAGGGGGGGGGCCAAAAGGCCCGGCAGGTCGGGGCGGCGCGAGCCAAGTCGAATGGGGTACCAGAACCAGGTGCGCCGCGGACGCCAACCAGAGCCAACGGGCCCCAGTTGGGGCTCGGGCCGCTTCCCGTGCCCATTCCGCGGCAGCACCCCGCCCTTTCGCTCGGCCCACTCCGCTACGTCGTGTCCTGCGGCCGCAAGCTCGCTGAGGAAGGTCAGGCATTGGACAGCCGACCGTCTCTGGGGGTCGAAGGTAACGCGCTGCCTTCCCTCGAACTGCGCCGCGCAGGAAAAAGCATGCCACCCGCTGATTAAAGTGGACCCAACCTCACGCTGGAGCCGTTTGACGCACTCGCCAGGCGTCTCGCCGTCGAGGGGTCTCATCGGATCAGCCCGGCAGGCAGCTTGCACAGCGCGTCGCCGTCCCCAGCCAGGGCTCTGTCGCGACGCCCCAGCCCTCCCCCGGGCACGCCACGGTTTTCACGGCCGCAGACCGCCCCGCCCGCCCGCGCGGCTGCGGCAATCAGCTCCAGGGCCGGCACGGGGCCGCTGGCAGACGCCACGAGCTGGACTGGAATGGGAACCGGCTGCCGACTGCTGTCCCCGGGGCGGTCGGGGGACCCGTCGGCCGCGGCCCCGAAGGAGGCGTCGGGCAGGACGTCGGGCGCGGCGTCGGCGAGGGTGCGGGGGGGGGGGGGCGGGCTCCCACGCCCAGCTCGTCCGCGACGTCGTCGCCTTCGTCCCCCTTGGCGACGGTGGGGTCGGGTCGCCGTCCGCCGGCGGGGCCGGGGTTCGGGGGAGCGTCGGCTGCCAGCGGCGGGTCCCGGGCCGTTGGCGTCGATGGGAGGGGTACTCAGAGATCGGGGGCGGCAAAGAGGGGGGTGATGACTAGGGGGTGTGGATATCATGGCGTGGGCCATGATATTTCCGCAGATTTCATGGCGCCTCTTCTTATTTCATTACGTCCCTGGCCCCCCCGCTTGGCCGCGCACATGCCGCCGGCCATGATGTGCACCCCCCCCTCTTGGACACCCCCCTCTTGGCCGCTCCCGAAAACGCCGCAGGGCGGCGGTTTCAGCAGCCTTCCCGGAAGCAAGCGGAACTGAGCACGGAACAGAGACAGGAGTTGCACGGTCTTCGCTAGAGGCACCGCCCCAGTCACCCCAGCCTTCCTGGCCTAGGGTCCTCTTGATATTCCCCCCGAGTCGGCTCCAGGAGAAGTGCCAGCGCCTCCCGTGTCTTGCATGTCATCAACTCCAGAGCTGGAACCGCATGGTATACGTCGTTTGTACATCACTCACATGTGCACCGGGGTTGAAAGCGGGCGGGGCGTAGGAAGACGTGCCAACGACAGCAACTGAATCGCTTGAACGAGTGGCGTCTGCCGCCCCTGTGTTAACAGTGAAAAGTGGGAGGCGAGAGCATGTGATCGATCGCGGGTACATATGTTGCTTCAGTGTGGCCACGCGCCACACCCAGCGGAGTATCCGACGAGGAGGCGCCTCCCCAGGGCTGTGAGAATCGAGCCCACGGGGTACGCAAACTGCGTGGGGCTCAAAGCGCTGCACTGGTGACAAGCTCGCAATGCAGACCGACTCCGAGCTGTCTGTTGCCGCCCGAGAGAGCATAGCACATGCTTCAGGAGGGGCAAAACACAGACACCATGAATCGCCGACTCCCCAGAGAGTATGGGAAAATATGGGCAGTGGGGGGGAAGACAGGAACCTGGAACATACGGGAAAATATGGGGAATCTTTTTATTTGTGTGTGTGTCTATTTGTGTGTCCCGGGGCCCCTTCGATGTTCCCCTCCAGGAGCGCTGCTCTAGGCCTCCTGGGGTGGGGTGGAGGGGGTCGGAGGATCGCGCCGCATCGGCGATGCGGCTCGATGTGGAGCCCGACGTTCTCAAAGCTGGCGTTGCCAATGCATCGCCGATGTCGCCGATGCATCGCCGATGCATCGGCGATGTATCGCCGATTTATCGGCGATGCAGCGCGTCCTCCGACCCCATCTACTCCGACCCCATCTAGGAGGCCTCTAGCTGCTGCCGCTGCCAACACGCGCACGGGCGTCGCCCCAGCCTCCACAGGGGCCGCGCGCCGCCCCCTGCCCCCCCCCACGGGGCCACGCCCACGTCGCCGAGATGATCCCCCCGCACATCTCCTGCACGACCTCTTCCACAACGCCGCCGGCGTCCTCCTCCTCCTCCGCCTCCTCGACGGTGCCCTCCTCCGAGTGCCGCCCCCGCGGCCTCCTCCGCCACCTCGTCCTCGAGCGCCGCCTCGAGTAGCGGCCTCTGGCGCTCTGGCGTCTGGCTGGGCGTCGGGTTGTTGGACGGGCCAGGCAAGAGTCGAAGTCGGGCGTCGGCACGGGCGTCGGAAGCATCGTTCGGGCAGGAAGTCGGAAGTGACGTCGGGGGCCTCACCAGGGAGGGCGTCGAGGAGGTAGTCGGGGAGGTAGTCGGGGCGGGCGGATGGACGATGGGGCAGAAGCATATGCAAATTGCAATACGAAAGGCGCCCCGTTGACTCCGGGGGGGTAGAGTCCATTCTTATTTTAGAAAGGAGAATCTATGTGGCGCAAGTGACGTGTTGCAATCTAGCCTATGTGTCTCCCTAATCCGTGCTTGCACTGAAGGGGTCCTAGCGGATCTTGCAGGATTTGGCGGAAGTGGGCGGCCGATTTCGGTGGACCGCCGGGTTCTTGGGTTCGCGGTTCCGGGTTACCGGGTTACCGGTTCCGGGTTCCACGCCGATTTCGCTGGGCGGCGAGGTTCCCAGGTTTCTTGGTTCACGGGTTCCTGGTCGATATCCCCATCGATCGGTCTCACCATCGATCTCACTAGCCACCTCTATCGATTCCATTATCGATCTCATTATACCGCAGTAAAAACCATCAGTGGATGGCTTGGACATCCAGATCGATTTTAGGATCGACAGTGAGATCGAAAATAGGATCGATAGCGAGGACGATAATAAGGCCGATCGTGAGACCGATGCTGAAGTCGATTCAGTGAGATCGAGAGTGAGATAGATGGTGAGATCTCTCGTGCGATCTATAGTTAGATCGATTGTGAAATCGATAGTCAGATCGATTGTGAGATCGATCGTGAGATCGATAGAGAGGTGGGTAATGATATCGATTGTGAGACCGATCGATAAGGAGATCGACCAGGAACCCAGAAACCTGGGAACCCCGCCGCCCAAGCGGAATCGGCCCAGAACCGGGAACCCGGGAAACCGGAACCGGGAACACGGGAAACCGGCGGCCTACCGAAATCGGCCGCCCACCTTCGCCAAATGTTTCATTATTCCAGAGAACAACCAGATCAGTGGATGCTTTGAGAATTAATGATATGGACATCGAGATCGATTGTCGGATCGATCGTGATACCGCAAGTGAGACCCATAGCGAGGACGATAGTATGGCCGATTGTGAGACCGTTATTGAAGTCGATTCAGTGAGATCGAGAGATATATGGTGAGATCGCCCGTGCGATCTATAGTTAGATCCATTGTGAGATCGATAGTCAGATCGATTGTGAGGTCGATCGAGAGGTGGGTAATAAGATCGATTGTGAGACCGATCGATAAGGAGATCGACCAGGATCCCAGGAACTTGGAGACCTGGGAACCCCGCCGCCCAAGCGAAATCGGCCCAGAACCGGGAGACCGGAACCAGGAACCCAGGAACCCGGCGGCCTACCGAAATCGGCCGCCTATTTTCTCCAAACCTTTCAAGATCGGCTAGGACCCTTTCAGTGCAAGCACGGATTGGGGAAAATCCGCTAGGACCCCTTCAGTGCAAGCGCTGATTGGGGAATATATGTGTTGTCATCTATGTGGTGCAACATATGCAATGCAATCTACGTTGTGCAACTTAGGCGGCGACGGGGCGGCGACGGCGACAACAAAGCAGCCAGACCGACAATCAGGCCCACGACGGGCTGCAACGAGGCGGCGACGGGGCAGCGACGGCGACAACATAGCCGCAAGACCGACAATCAGGCCCAGACGACGGGCTGCGACGAGGCAGCGACGGGGCGGCGACAATGTAGCCACCAGACCAAAATTCAGGCCCAGTTCCTTACAAAAGAAGTAAGAACCCTTGCAAAAAAAACCCTAAGTGCTAGCATAGTTTGGGGAATATGATCGTGGCGCGGGGAGCGCCACCGTGGCAAGGTTGCGCCGCCGTGGAATTACGCCAGCATGCTGGCCCAACCCATCGACAGAAACAATCAAGTTGTGTAGAGTGTAGACCCGGTGCGCAAGGAAGCTGCAGGCTGAGCGCGTGTTTGAGCAGGAGTCGCCCGTATCCATCGAATAGCTCCCGAGCGAAGCGAGCAGAGAGCTCCCCTTCACGGCGGCGGCTTCCATGGCTCTATTGGCATCAGGGAAACCTCCAGCGTCTGCTGAGAATTCCCAGGGACTTCCGCGAAGCTTCCCCGGAAAGAGGGTGGCGCAGGGAGACTGCGGGGGTCGCGTGAGGCGCCCGAGCGCGCCGAGAAATGGGCGTCCCCCTCCCAGGACAGGCTCCAGCTGGCCCCCGCGCGCCTCCAGGGGCACCCTGCGAGTCCCCAGGGGTCGCCTCGTGGACCGTTCGAGAAGGATGTTGTCCAGAGGGGCCTCTTCGGCAGGATGGAGCGCGGTGGGACTGCGAGGGTCGCTTAGGCCATCCCGCGTGACGAAGAGGGCGTCCCTCCAGCCGGACCGCTTCGCACAACAGCCTGCAAGGTTCACGACACACTGCTGGGGGAAATGTGCTGTTGTTCCCTAATTAGGGAGGTCCATCGTCGCCGCAGCCAGATTCGGCTCGAATCAGCTGCCAAGATGGTGTCGAGGGTGGCCTGGGGACCGATTTCGAGCAGTTCTTCACGGGGACGCACGGAAACATGAGTTGCATTATCTATGAAGGGATTGGCTTCCTTCATGGGAGGGAGCAACAAACAGGAGGTCAAACAGACTGCAAACTCGGCTGTGCTAGAACGGGGATGCGATCTGAGGCCATGGTTGTGTAAACCGTTTCCGATTGCGGATCCAGAAGATGCCGCGATCGCCACTGGTGTCGCTATCATCGTTACAGGCATCATGTCTGCCATTGTTGGAGCGACTGCAAGATACCAATGCTGCCGCTGCTAAAAACCAGTGGGAGGTGCATGGGCGTTGACTTACCATGCATTGTGCGTCTTCCTTTCCTGAGTCGTTGTGTGAGGCCTCTTCGTATAAGTGATCGATGGAGCCTTATGGGGATTGATGCACATACTGCGCATTCTCCATTCTCGATTCATTTTCCTCGTCCTCTTCGATCAGTTTCGCGTTCTATGCTTGTTTCAATCAGCTCGTGGTGCGAACGGCACGTCCGCGAAAACAAAAAAAACGAGACCATACATAACAACAAAACAAACAACTAAGCAAAGAACGTCGCGCGTATGTTCCGGATGGTGCTGGCGTTGTTGTTGTCATTGGGGGTGTTGTCGCCATCGTCTCCCATCGTCCTCACCGTTCCTTTCCCCTCGCCGCCGCCGCCGACGTGCGCCTTCGAAGAGTTGGCAGTAACGCACGAGGACGGACGCCCCCGATACAGGTGCAGTCCAAGGCCCGCGGGCGGTGCGTGCCCATCGACCCATCGCCCTTCATACCGGTGCCGCCCGAGGCCTGCTGCCGGCAAGAGGAGGAATGGCAGGGGAGCGACGGGGGAGAAGACGGAGGACAAAACGATGAGGGGTGCTCATACGAAAAGAGAAGGAGGAGGACAGAGGAGGAGCAGCTGCAGCAGGAGGAGCAGGTGGAGTAGGGAGCGGGATGTTCGATGCCTGTCGCTCCCTCATGCGTTCCTTTACCCTTCCAGCGCTTGCCGCCACACGCGTTTGACTCAAGCCGCATTTTGCCCCTCAAAGCAGGTGGCTCCATTGGCAACTGCACTGGAGAACGGAGCGCAGCCTGCGCTTCGTTCTAGCTGTAAAGAGAGCGGCGTGCGCGCGCCGCCATGTTGTCTGTCAACATCAACGGAGGTTCCGCCTTGAAGATCCTCGGTTGGGGATCGTTTAACCTAAACCTCGGAGGCGATGGAGAATATACATCATATGCGCCAGGTCATCTTGATCATCTGACCAAAAGCAAGTAAATCAGCCGAAAGAAGAGGGTGATGCCCCCTGTGTTGACCCAGGCGACGGCTATCAACGCAGCCGCAACACAACTGGCAGTTATGGCGTGATTTCAAATGAGAGTCCGACCGATCTTGGAAATTAGTTATCCAGAAGGCGGGGTCTGGAATGCATCGCAATATCTCGATTCTCGGAAAAGAAACGAATGATTCAGGAAAGGATTCAGAGAGTGAGCGAGAGACCTCGCGATATTACGATCAGATGTCGCGGGCCTCGTCTGTTTCCCGATCAGCACCAGGAGTTCCAAATAAGAAATGGATCGAGGCCAAAGCACACCAAGAGCAAGAAATTGATTATGCGATTGTTTCGGAAAAATAAATGGGAGGTTCCAGGAGCATACGGCATGGCGTATGGGACCGACCTCCCAGCGGAAAATCAGGCTTGGATGGACAATCTTAATCCGTACGTCACGGAAGAGATTCGGGACCATGTGGGAGAGGGGACCATGGAGAAATCGTTGTTGGTGATGAAAATCTGGCGCCCATCCGCCACGGGAGAAGATGACGATGCGGAGATCAACAGGCAACCTTTGGCCAACGTTGCGACGACCCATCTGCCAACGATCAATTCGACGTCCGGAATGTTCGAATTCTTTCGAATGTGGAAGATTCCATGGGAACATGGGAACAGCGAGAAACCACCAAGATACTACTCCAGATGCCCCAGCGTGTGCGCTTCCCGATCTCACCGACCTAGGTCTGCCTTCCGTCTTTGACGGCACAAGTGGGTTTGACACTAGATGGAGTTCTCATCATTCAAGACGACCCAGGGATGACGTTGGCATTGGGGGGCCCAGGAGCATTGCCAAGGGGCATCGCCCAGCGCCATCGCAATCGCCAGAGTTCGACTGCAGCCCGCCAGCGAAAATGGCACCAGTCGGGGAAGACTTGCTCCAGCCTGCGTTAGTTTGCCCTGCAAGCGCGCTGCCACACGCGCTGGGCTCAATTCATGTGTTGCCCCATCAATCAGCCACGCGCAGAGGGGGGTGGGGGGAGGGGGGAGGGCTTCTTAGAAGCACCCCTGCTTCTTAGAAGGCGCGGGCCTTATCTATAGATGTAAGGCCGGCGCCTTCTAAGAAGCAGCCTGCTTCTAAGAAGCCCTCCCCCCCCCCCACCCCCTTGTGCGCGCCGCCAAATCAAGGAAAAGTGGCTCCAGCTGCAAACGTAAATGGGGAACGGAGCGCAGCCTGCGCTGCGCTGCAGCTGAATGTATGGAGCGGCGCGCGCGCCCTGCCACGTCGTCGGTCGACGTCAAGGGAGGTTCCGCCTCGAAGATCCTCCTTCAGGGATCCTCTGAGCTAGGAGGGGATGGAAAACTACATCAGATGCGTCAGGATATCTTGATCATCTGACCAATAACAAGGACGCAGAAGGAGGTAAATAAAGAGCAGGAGAAGGGAAGAGGAGGAGGAGGAGGAGGAGGAGGAGGAGAAGGAGGAAGAAGAGGAGGAGGGAGAGAAGAAGAGGGAGGCCTTCAAGCCACCTGACAGGCTATCTTCTCGAAACCCTCCATGCTGATGATGCTGCCGACTCCACGTCCTACTCTGCATTCCGTTCCTTCCACGAGCCACTGCCGCCTGCCGGGTCATTGATGACGTCTGGTGTCCAGAATGTGGCGCATGAAGGATCAAGTGTGCTAATGTGTGTACAGTCTCTCTTTGGTTGATGTGATTGAAGAGCCCCGTAAATGGCGGCGGAATTGGAGAGCGGGCGGTGAGAGGCAACAGGCAGGGAATGCGCAAGATTCCTCTCGCTTCGCGGGGTGCCCGTCCGGAGCACGTACAGTCCAGTCATCACGGGGCTGCTTGGAAACCTCACGGGGGCTTCGTGGGGGCCTCTTGTGGGATACTGGGGCCTCTTGGGGGGCCTCTTTGGGTCGTCTTGGAGCTTTTGGGGGGCGTGTTTGGCCGTCTGCGGCAGTTTTTGCGCTGGTTGTCCTCTTCGGAGCCTATATTAAGGTTTCTCGGAGTGCCCCTGGGAACCGCTTGGTCCGTGCTGGGGTCTTCTTGGGGCCATCTTTGGGTCCCCTTGGGCCGTTTGGGGGGTTCTGAGGGGACTTCTTGGGCTGCCATGGGGCATCTCGAAGGCTGTTTGAGCCTTGAGGGGCCTCCGATTGTCCAAGAAGGATTGACTTATTCACGCTTCTCGTATCCTCACCAGCCCATTCAGAACGCTGCTCGTACATCTTGATGGGGAAAAGGGAGGAAGAGACACATACGGGAACCAAGCTGGGAGGATGAGGAGGACAAGGAGCAGGCCGAGGACTAGGACGAGGACGAGGTGGAGGAGCAGGAGGAGGAGGAGGACAACGAGGAGGAGACGGAGACGGCAAAGAATAAAGGGTGTTCCGTCGGTGTTGAAGGTGGTTGGTTTCTTGGGAGTGTCCTGAGGGGGTTCGAAAGAGCGCTGTCCGCCTCTACTGGCAGGCCAGGCGCACCCCCCCCCCGGTTCGAAACGGCGGGGCGTGGGAGGGCAAGGCAGCTTCCCACTCCGAGCCAGGGGGGGGGCGGGAAGGGGCGGAGCCACCCCTCCCACCCCGGTTCGAACCCGGGGGGGGGGGGGTGGAGAGTGCATGTGGGACCAATCCCAACCGATTGGTACCGATTGCAACCAAGTGGGCCAGTTCCCAGCCGGCCGAAAACCAAGAGGTGCCAATGACAACCAGCCCTCTTGAGCCGAAAGTGGGGTCATTCGATGTGCAGAGGTCCGTGAAGGCATGCAGAAGTCAAACGCACGTCTTAAGAGTATGAATTCATTCTGGGTGCCCCAGTTGGAATGTGTATTCGCATCCTGGCTGAAATTTTGGAGTTTTTGGTTTGACATTGAGCAGTGATCGCGAATAGTATTGGAGCTTTATGGCTAGCACAGGAGAACTGGATAGGTGTCGCACGACAGTTGCGTGAAGCTTCGCGTCACTTGGCTATCATGTGAGCGTTGTGGGGTTTCCACCTGCGAGCAGTGCAATGCTCGAACACGAAGGGTGGACATGCATCAGAAACGGAGACAACTCCCAGTGAGAAGCTCATCGTAATCGTATGAAAACTGCAGTCGGCAAGTGGGACCAGAAAGCAGGCTCCATGTGCGCAAGTCGCACACATGAGCTGCCACATGGCATATGACACCTCGACGATTTCCGTAGTATGGAGTGGGGTCGGTGCAAATTGTACACGGCATTCCCGTATTCATCGGGGGACGGCCCAGCGGACCTGGGGCCGTGACCACGACCGCAAATGCGTGTGCCGGGAACCAGGCCCGTTTCGGGGGGGGGGGGGGGGGGGGGCGGAAGGAAGGGAGGGAGGGGGGGAGGGGGGGGGGAGGGCAAACATCATTTTTGAGAGCCACTGGACAGCCGTCACGGCGGCCCAAGACGGCCCCGAGTCACCCCCACGACGCCTTCCAAAAGTCTTCGATGGCCCAAGATGCGTCGCAAAAGGCTCAAGAGGTGTCCACGACGCTTCCAGACCGCTCCAGGAGGACCCTCCAGATGGCCCCGAGAAGCAACAAATCGCCCCATTCCCTCGGAATATTTACATTTTTAACATATCCGCTTTTCTGGTTTCAACACGGTCCAAGACGACTCCAGAGGTTTCCAAAGTCGCCCCGAGGACTGCCCAAGAGGCCCGCAAGAAGGCCCCTAGAGGGCCCAAGGGGGCCCCCAGAGGGCGCCAAGATGGGCCCAAGAAGGGGAACCCGAGCTACAATTTCGAGCCCTCCACCCAAAGATGGCCCCCGAGGCCCCCAACAGGCCCCTGACAAGCCCCAAGAGGCCCTCGGGAGGTCCCGGTGAGGCCCAAAAGAGTGCCCAAAGTAGAACCCCGAGAGGCCCCGAAGCCCCCAGGAAGCCCCCGGGAGACCCGCAAGCGGCCCCCGACCGGGCGCCGAGACATTTCAGAGAGACCCCAAGATGCGTTTATGATGCCTCATCATCATAAACGCATCTCATGCGGCGGGAAATGAGCCACACTTTGCTGCATGAGCGCTCTCATAGTGTAGTGGGGGCATCGCTCACTCACCGAGTCCGTGGGACATGTTTGTGCTCCTGCTGTCCACAAGGGGGCAGGATGTGTCCGCTGGAGGAGGTGCGAAGAGACTTCGGAGTGAGGCTTCGCGTGTGCCCTTTCCTTCCCTTTCCCCTCCTCTCCAAAATTACGCTGGGAGGGAAAAATGCGTTTATGATGCCTCTGGCCCACAACCTGGGCAGATTCCCCTGCTTGACTCCAGACCGTTTTCAAGGCGGCTCCAGAGGGCCCCGAATCGCTTCCAAGACGGTTTGGAAGAGTCTCCGAAGGCCCCGAGAGGCAAGCATGCACGTGCGTAATAATGTATGAGTGTAGCGTTCTAAGAGGGTTGCACGAGGGCCCCGTAGAGGGCCCTGGAATGCCGAAATATCGCTTGGTGACTCCCATTCGGGCCGCCCAAATGCCGTGCTTGCTACATTGCGGTGATCATCTGGCTCTGGAAGGAGCCGCGTTTACCCCGCAAGTTCTGGC